CTCACAAAGATGAGGGGAACTAACTCCTTATAATCTCATGACTGCTCTCAGAGCTTTTTTCCTCCTTGACTTTTTACCGTCGTATAATCAGATCGTGATCTCGATTATGACACCGGCTCCTGGTCGCAAAAAGCTAGAATCTTGACCGAAGCAGCTCAATTTGAAATGACAAGTTGATATTTGTTACGTATAACGTATAATATTGACATCGCTGCTTTGTTTCTTGTTCGTGTATTTCCATCTATAGTTAAATTTAGTGTAAGCTGGAACAAATAGACCTACATGTATTTAATGAGATACTTTCCCGATTATTTTGGGCGGTTGAACGTACAATATTATGAATTCAGGATTTGCTTTCATTCACAACTCAGGGTTGCCGCCTCGAGTAAGATTCTTGTGTGACATCTCTATCTGGTTCATTGTCTCACTTCGATTACCCTGTCAAACAAGCCAGCTTTCGCCCCTGCTCATAGTGTTTTAAAAATAAAAAATGATAATAAAACTGCCTCAATTGTGCGCTCCTTATGAACACAAGCGAGTAGGCCTACATGATTACCGTATTTTCCTTGCCAGCTTCTCCTACCTCAGTAAGCCACAGTCACAGTAGCTCAGTTAAGCTAAGAAAGAATTTTCAAGCTGAGGGCGTCAAAACCTGCTAACTAAAAACATTCTTCTCTTCAGTGTGCTCAACCGAGTGGAACCACCTGGCCATGGTCCAGAGCCTCAATAGTGAGGTAGACGACAACAACTTACTATGCTATGACTCTGAGGCATACGTAGGGCTAGGCCCTCGGCCACCACGGTCAGTTCAATGAAGAATGAAAACGCCTCAGTGATCAAACATACAAGACGCAAGATGCCTTTCTTTCTGGATGACTGGATGACTGCTGACAAGAGCACTATTCGATACCTGTACTCGATACGATAAAGGTGTTGATCGGAACCGAAGACCCTAGGCCATCTGTGCCCTAGGCCTATACAACACAATGGCATGACCTCTGTTAGAACGAGTCTGTACTATTTCTTAAAATTTATTATCTGCTCTGCTACGAGGGGCTCTCGTGGTCTAGAGGTACGCCTACTGTGTTTGCCTCTCTTTCAAAAGGTCCCGGGTTCGAACCCTGACAGCGACAAAAAAATTAATTCCCATAAATTTTCTCCTTTCACCCCATTTCCTATTCTCTAGTCGTGTTCTGTCATTTGCTTTCATCTCCACTTTCTGCCCACCCCTCCCTCCCCCAATCCTCTTGGTTTTATACTCTTGCTACTGCTACTCCTCCATACTGCTGTCTTTCAGTCACCCCTGATCTTATAGTAGGTAAGATCGAACACCTAGCCTTCTAAGATAAAGGCGAAAAAATCTTGAGGTCTCGTATGCGAGTTGCTCACGTTAAAGATCCCTTGGTGGTCTTAAAATGGATAGTAGTAGGTTTCGGCCGCCACCCGGGCAAAATTCAAAATTTCTACCAAAAAAAAACTGAATCTGAAAATACTCTAGTCAGTAATATAAACATGTAGAGTGCCTTCGAAATCGGAACGAGGCTGCTTGAACTGAAGCACGGGCCCGGTATTTATTGGGTAGGAAAAAAAACAACAACAAACAAACAACCAACCCCGATCACATAGGCCAACTTAAAAATCCGTTGCACCACAGGTTGAAAAACAAGTAGCCGACTACTCATGAGATCTAGCAGAGAAGAAAAAGAAAAGTCAGGACCACCCTTTCACCTGTTTTTATTCTGGACGTTGGCCTGCTACGACGTCTCTTCTTTGGAGCGTATCAAAGTTGTCAATGTCCGAAGGGAGGGAAGTGGTACTTGGGCATTCTATTTCCTCTATGTCAACCGTCAAGGCAAAGCTTTACCTTAACATAGGAGCCTACTGCCTTCTGATCGTCTGTCAACTTACTATCAAGACGCAAGAGGCCTTCATTGTCTATTATGTCGGTTTTAAATTTAAATGACGATAAAAGACAACGCACAATATAAACTCGTCCTCCAGCCTTTCCATCCCTCTACCTTTAACGAAAACACAGAAAAGAAGGTAGGCCCTATCATAGATATAAACCACTACTTTCTATTCACTAGATACCGCGCGACCGCGAGCCTGCCTTCTCTCTCTCTCTTTGAATCGGTCGTCCGCCATTTTTGTTAGGGTTGGACGTTTGGGCCTCGCTCAGCTCTCGTCAGTCTAACAAGAGAGAATAATAAACTAAAGGCCAGATAGAATGAGCGCCTTCTGCTGTAATTTGACAAAATGCCTTTTTTTCCTTCAAGCGCGATTTTTTTTTTAAATTGCTAATTCGATAGTCTGGCCTGTTACCCTACTTGTGTGAAAAAAATCAAAGTGAAACTGTGACTAGGTTTTGAATAAATAAACATTCAAAATTCGAAAGAACTCACGCTGACAAAACGCCTTTTCTAAAAAGTTCGCTGACAGAATTATAAACCTGAACATGAACAAACAGCTTACACAGACACAAATTCTCATAGACACATACAGACTCACTCACGCAGCAGACACACACTCTCAAAGACACACACAGCCACATACTCACTCACACTTACACTCACACATACACTCACACACACTCACACGCGGATTATATAGACACATACACACAGAGACACACGCACAGACACTCATACAGACACTCACACAGACACACACACATACACACATATGCACAGACACGTTCACACACACACGCACACACAAACACACACACACGCACACGCACACACAAACATACACACACACACAAACATACACACACACACACACACATACTCACACAAACACACTTATATAACACTTATACGCACCTGCACACACAGTCTTATACACATACAGATGGACAGACAAACACATAAGATAAGATAAGATAAGATACATCTTTATTGTCCTGATCCTAGCACATTGGTTTGGTGTTTCACTACGTGTACACACACACACACATACACACACACACACACACACACACACACACACACACACACGCACACGCACGTACATGCACACACACGTAGGCTTACAATCACATGCATAATATAACGGAGCAGCAATATAAACAATAATAATCGTAAGCTAGATACACACTCAATGTTATTTTGATGCATGCTCTAAGGTCGTAAGTATACTTGTACAAGATGGTTAAGATGGAAGCATTTTGATAGATGATGGTAAAAATGACCTTCTATATCTTTCTTTGTTACAGATCAGAAGTCTAGGTTTTTTACTTCTGACTGATGTTTTTATTTGAGGGAACAAGGGATGTTTGTTGTCTAAAAAGATGGAATGAATTTTTTTTTGTTAGTGCAAGCTGTTATGTACAATTCATCCAAGTAGGGGAATGTAGATGTTGAAATTTTACATGCTTTCGTATTAGTCGATTAAATTTTTCTTTATCTTGTTGTCTTGTGTTCCCGGCCCATGCTGTTATACAAAAATTGACCATACTTTCTATGGTTGAATGGACATCATGGACATCAATGTTTTATCAAATTTAAAATACTTTAGCTTCCTAAGAAAAAATTGTCTTTTGTTCACTTTTTTACGGAGGAGAGAAATGTGGACACGTCAGTTGAGTTTGTTGTCTATTGTAACATCCAAATAGTTATAGTTATAGTCTGACACTTGCTCGATGTTTTCACATTTAATTTCGAGTGGCTATGGTCAGCCTGAATTAGCCCAATTATGGTTGAATCATCTGCAAATTTTAGCAACTTGATGTTACTGTTGTTTAGTTGGTAATCGTTCGTGTATAGTGTGAATAAAACTGGTGACAAAACACATCCTTGAGGGGCCCCTGTATTTGTTGTGATGTATGTCAATGAAGAATGTTTTAATTTTACATACTGGGTTCGGTTGGTAAGAAAAGTGCCTATCCATGATATTAAATTGACCGTAACACCCAGGTTTTCTAATTTCTTTAAAAGGATAGCTGGCTGGATAGTATTAAAGGCTGACGAAAAATCACCATGCACACAAACACACATACACACACAGACACTTGCACACGCACACACACACACACACACACACACACACACACACACAAACACACACACACACACACATACACTCACACATACACACATGCAGACAC